CATGCATACATGCATACATGCATACATGCATACATACATACATACATACATACATACATACATACATACATACATCATACATACATACATACATACATACATACATTATCTTTACCCGCTTCTTCCTTTTTGGGTCCCGGGGGTTATTGGTGCCCATATCCAGCAGTCACTGTACGAGAGGTTAGGGACACACTGGATAGGTCTCCAGTCCATCACAGGAACACACAGAGACAAACAAGACAAACAACCATTCACTTTCTCACTCACACCTAGGGAACACATACTAGAGATACTAATTAGCTTAACATGCATGTCTTTAGTCTGTGGGAGAAAACTGGAGATCCCGGAAAAAAAAAATACACATATGCACAGTGAGAACATGCAAATTCCAACTAAAAAGGTCCCACGGTGAGAATTGATTTTGAGAGGTGACAGTTCTACCAACTGCACCATTGTGCCACCAGTCATGTTTAGTCCACCCAAAAGGTCACTAAACTCACGGCAAACTGATACAATCAGAAGCTCCAAACCCCTCTATGACCTGCATACATACAGTTGAGAGTAACAGGGACGTTGTTTCTAACAACAAAGATTCAGCAAGTGGCCTCATGCAAAGTGTAGAGGTTGAATAATAGCTAGCGTAACTTTTTTTTTTTCACACAAGTTTAGTTTTTGGGAAAAAAAAAAGGTATTTTTTGTAAGCCTGAAAAAATTATAAATATAAATAAATAACTGGTACTCATTTGGCTAGCTATTAGCCTAATCTGAGAGAAAAAAAAAACTTATAGGGCTGCAGATTAGTAAAACTATCTTTCTTGGTGATATGAGCATTTAGTTTGCCTCAAATAATCTTCTAAACCCATAATTTTCGAAAACCACAGTATGCACATAGAAAAACCTTTTAAGATAGCTGCCTTCGGAAGTCATTTTTTGTTGCTTTCAGTCACAATGGACTCACATAGTGGGCAGCACTGAAAAATTCAGTCCATTCTGGAGTCAAAAACATCAGGAATTAAAAACATTTTTTACAGATATATAATTATTAGTACCATAATGTCTTGACCTAATATTTCATGTATTGTGATGTTATAAGAAAACTTGGTAATTATTTGATATATTTCATGGCTTTTTACTGAATACACAAAGCTGGCCACTTTGTGTATTCAATCAAAAGCCGTGAAATATAAATAACCCAGCCACCAAGTCAGCCACTAGGGAGCACAAGCCAGTGTATCTCTTGTGCCAGAGTATCAGATAGGGTGATGTGCCTGAAGGTAGAAGTAGAAGGTATGATGCTAAATATTGTCAGTGGTTATGATCCATAGGTTGAACGTGATATGGAGAAGAAAGATACATTTAGAAGGATCTGGATGAAGTGATAGAGAGTATTCCCACAGAGGAGAGAGTGATAATTGGAGCATACCTGAACAGACATGTTGGTGAAGGAAACAGAGGGGATGAAGAAGTGATGGTCAGGTTTGGTGTCAAGGAAAAAAACCAGGAAGGACGGACGCTGGTAGATTTTGCCAAGAGAAAAGAAATGGCTGTAGTCAACACTTATTTCCAAAAGAGGGAGGAACACAAAGTGACCTATAAGAGTGGAGGAAGGAGTACGCAGGTCGACTATATTCTTTATAGAAGAGGAAACCTGAGAGAAATTGGGGATTGTAAGGTTGTGACAGGGAAGAGTGTGGCCAGACAGCATTGGATTGTTATGTGTAGAATGACTGTTGTGAAGAAGAGAAAAAGAGTAAAATCAGAGAAGAGCAAATGGTGGAAGCTGAGAAAAGCTGAATGTTGTGAAAAATTCAGAGAGGAGCTGTTAAAGACTGTTAAAGATGCAAGCTGTACTGCGGGCCACCGGACCCGGAAAACCCCCTCCAGCCCACGTCTTCTCCCCCCGGCTCAAATCTCCCTCAAAAGTGGTAACTCATACTAAACAATAAATCAAGGGAACATAAATTAAGTTTTATCAATTGTACTAAAATCAAGGCAGGAAAAAATTACAATTCACAGAGCTGGTCTCTCTGGCCTGTGTCGCATTCACGGTAGGCAAAGACAACAATAAACTACAGTAAAAAATGCAGTTAAAATAAGAGTAGTGTACAAAACAATAAATCAGGGTGCCGTAAGCCTCCCTGGTAAGGTCTATTCATGAGTTATAGAAAGGAAGGTCCATCAGGAAAAAGGTCCCTCTTGTAAATGAGTCCCCATGGCTCTATGAGACTAGCCTATATAAATAAAGGTTGAATTAAATTAGGAGCATGATCCACCTGTAGTTGTATTGAAACTGTGGCAAAACAATTTCCTGCAGGATCAATAAAGTTTTATTTTATCTTATCTTAAATAGGGCGAGAAGGACATGTATCAATTGGCGAGACAGTGGGATCAGGCTGGAAAGGAATTGAAGCAGGTTAGGCTTGTTAAAGATAGGAATGGTAATGTTCTAACAAGTGTGGAGACTATGACGGGAAGATGGAAGGAGTACTTTGAGGAGCTAATGAATGAAGAAAATGAAATAGAAAGAAGAGTAGAGGTCATAGAAACTGTGGACCAGGAAGGGAGAAAGATTAGTGAGGGAGAAGTCCGGAAAGCTCTGAAAAGAATGAAGAAGGGGAAGGCAGTAGAATCTGATGACATAACAGTGGAGAACAGGGAACAACAGGTGGAAGAAAACTTGGAGAGGTGGATGTATGCACTTGAAAGAAGAGGAATGAAAGTAAGTCATAGTAAAACAGAGTACATGTGTGAATGAGAGGGAGGCAGATGAAATAGTGAGGCTACAAGGAGCAGAGGTTACAAAGGTGCAAAACTTCAAATACTTGGGGTCCACTGTCCAGGAAAATGGGGAGTGTGGTAAAGAGGTGAAGAAAAGAGTCCAGGCCGGATGGAGTGGATGGAGAAAAGTTTCAGGAGTGATTTGTGACAAAAGGGTGTTGGCAACAGTGAAAGGAAAAGTTTACAAAACAGTGGTGAGACCAGTTATGCTGCATGGTCTGGATACAGAAACATGGACAAAAGGTGAGAAGACAGAAATGTAAGTAGCAGAAACGAAGACGTTAAGGTTCTCGTTAGGAGTGACAATGATGGATAAGATTAGGAATGAGATCATCAGAGGTACAGCACAGGTTGAACAACTTAGAGATAAAGTTAGAGAGACCAGACAGAGATGGTTCGGACAGTTGGTATATTGGTTGAAGAATGTTAGAAATGCAGCTGCCAGAAAAAAAGACAAATAGGAGATATATGGATGCAGTTAGTGGACATGGAGGTAGTTAGAGTTAGGTCAGAGGATGCTGAGGACAGAGTGAGATGGATGATGACTTGCTGTGGCGACCCATGAAGAGGGAAAAGTTGAAGGAAGAACAAGAAGAAGACACATAGCCTGCCACTGAAAATTTGACAACACATACTCATTATGTTATACTTATCATGTTTGAATACATAGAGCTGTGTGCACTTGAGACTGAAGCAGAAGCATTTGACTCTGCTGTGATATTTAGTTTTGTATGAAAGGTTGAGCCATTCAGATTTTACAAGAGTAATGTAGTTTTTCACATACAAAGCAGCAATTTTGAAAAATGGCTCCCAATTTTGATTTTCAGCTGGATACAGTGACTTCATCAAGAAGTAGGTAGAAGTAGTCTTTCTTCATGCCAAAATTTGTTGCTTTTATCACCAAGTGAAATATTGTTATTGACCTTATCTGCAGCACTATTTTGGCTTTTAATTCATCCTCCAGACTTTTTGACTGATGTCGGATCTGATAAGGTACTAAATATTGATAAATGTTTGACAGAACATCACTTCTAAGCTGATTGAACTATCCCCTTAAGGCCTGATTGGAGATGTTCGCAAAATATGGATAAAGAGAAAACAGAGAGCTGCAGTTTAACAGAACTGGTGCTTACCAATGCAGTCTTTCTTGTTCCAGTGAAGCTGTTGTCCTGGTGGACACACACACTCATAACTACCCTGTGTGTTCATGCAGCCATATTCACAGCTCCCATTGTTGATACTGCACTCATCAACATCTAATGCAAAAAACATAAAAAAAACATGCAGACAGTGCTTACAGGTACCCTTACATACTTTGAAACCATATTAAGAAACCATTCTTACAACACCTGTGAAATTATACGCTTCCAAATGAAACCATATACAATTACTTTGTATTAGTTGAATATGATTTTACCTATGAAATTAGGTAAAAATGACAGCTATTGATGACAAATGACTGCAGGGATGTAGATAATGGACACACCCTGTCAAATGCCAAACAACTGGTGCATCTCAAAAATTTGAATAGTGTGAAAAAGTTTAGGTTTTTGCCAAACACTTCAGAAAGTGAAACTCATATTTTATATAGATATATTTCACAGAGTGAAATATTTCTAGCTGTGAATTCTTGGAATAGTGATGATTATGGCTTACAAATACAATAGTCCCTTGCTACTTTGCGGTTCGTTTTTTACAGAATCGCTGTATCGGGATTTTCCAAAATAATAAAAATAATAATAATCAATTTTATTTGTATAGCGCTTTTCTCAATACTCAAAGATGCTTTCCATGAGTAAAAAATAAATTAAAATAAAATCAACAATGCATAACACATGAAAACACAGTAAAGCATTTAAAAAGGGCAATTTTAAACATTAAAAGTAATTTTAAACAGGTGGGTTTTGAGTTCTTTCTTAAAAGTGGAGAGATCGGAGCAGCAACAAAGCTGTTGGGGCAGTGAATTCCAGAGGGTGGGGGAAGCGATGGGGAAGGCTCTGTCTCCCCAGGTTCAAAGCTTGGTCCTACAGGGGAGAGACAGAAGGTTGGCATCGGAGGAGTGGAGGGAAAGAGAAGGAGTGTAGTGATGGAGTAGGTCAGACAGGTATGGAGGGGCCAGATTATGGAGGGCTTTGAATGTGATAACGAGGATCTTGAAATGGATGCGCAGATTGGCGGGAAGCCATTGGAGTTTCTGCAGGACAGGAGTGATATGTTCATGGGAGCGAGTGTGGGTGAGAAGGCGGGCAGCAGAGTTTTGAATATATTGCAGTTTGTTGAGAGTTTTGGATGGTGTACCGTACAAAATGCTATTGCAATAGTCGATTCTGGATGCAGTGGAGAAAGTGAGTGGTGGGTGGAGTCGTGCTATGTTTTTGAGAAGGAAGAATGCAGTCCGAGTTATCTGTTTGACATGTGATTCGAATTAAAGAGTGGAGTCGAGAAGAATACCAAGATTACGAATGAGTGGGGATGGAGTGAGAATGACGTTGTCAAAGTTGAGGCAGAAGTTTTAGGTGGACTTGGTAACACTGTTTGGACCAATGACGAGTACTTTAGTTTTGTCAGTTTTTAATTTGAGAAAATTGTGCTTCATCCAGGTTTTGATGTCAGTTAAGCAATGGGTGAGGGTGGAGTGGATGTTGGGGTTTATGGATGTAGTAGAAATGTCAATCTGTATGATATCAGCATAGCAGTGAAAATGGAGGCCATGACGACGGATGATATTACCAAGGGGGAGGATGTAAAGGATGAAAAGGAGAGGACCAAGCACTGAACCTTAGGGAACACCCTGGGATAGAGGGGTTATGGAGGAGGAGCAGCAGTTGATGTTGTTGCCAGTCTGTGAAGTAGGACTGAAATCAGTGATGCTCAGGTTGGATTTGAGACGGGACAGGAGGACGGTGTCACAAGCTGCAGTGAGGTCCAGAAGGATGAGGATACTGAGCTGGCCAGGATAAGAGGAAAGGAAGAGAATTTTGGTAACTTTGAGAAGAGCTGTTTCGGTGCTGTGTTTTGGATGGAAACTGGACTGGAATGTGTAGTGAACTTAATCTGAGGTCAAAACTCTTGACCTTAAGAACCTTGTGGGACAGGAACTGTCATTTCATTGATTTGAATCCAGAAATACAGGTTCACCCATCCTGAGACTTTCTTTCTTGAAAATTCAAGTGGAAGAACACTCTCTGTTCTATTATCATTACTATTTTACAAATGTTGATAATCAAAGTGTCTTAGTTCAAACCATTTTAGATGTTGCAGTGAACTAATCAATTTTATTAACTGTGTAATGATTTTTAATTCTCATGCAAAGTTAGAACTCATGTCAAAGCTGTTACAGAGTAATTATGCATTTGCTGATTTCTGTCTGTGAATGAGCAAAGTGTGCTTTCCAGGGTCAGGAGTTGAAGCAGACATGTTTTGGAACAACTGTCCTGTTTATATCCTCTCAGACGTCAACAGGGGGGTTTTGGCACCTGTTTCTTAAACTCGCCAAAACAAAACTCTCTCTGTCTGTGAGAACATTTCTGATCTGTCCATAACAATTCTTGCTGACTTCTAACCTTTTACGTCACAAAACACACCCCGTCTGGTCGGTTCTGGCCAATGGGGAGACTCCCGAATGAACCGGGAACAGAGCTCTTTAAAATGTCGGTACTTCCTGGTCTACTCAGTTCTGTTGGAGTTCTGTTCTGTTGGAGTTCTGTTGGAGTTCTGTTCTGTTGGAGGTCTGTTGGAGTTCTGTTCTGTTGGAGTTCTGTTGGATACACAGTTCTGTCAGTTCTGTGAGGGCTGTGAGAGTTCAGTTCTGTGGGAGTTGGGTCTCTGTTCAGTTCTGTGAGCCGGGAAGATCCTGACATGACAACAGAGCTCTTCCGAGTTTCATGGGATTATAACATCTTCACTGAGGTGAGCTGTTCGGACAGAATCTCGCCGCTACTCCGGACGAGTAACAGCATCCTACGGAGACGCTGAAGGGTGCGTTAAACGGAATCTCGCCTGAGACATCTCCAGGTAAAAGAGTCGATTTCACCACCTAAGTGTACTGTAAGGGAGAGGCTGAAGAAAGCCCGGAGAGTGCCGTTCTGTTCAACACTCCCTCAAACCCCATCTTTTACTCTTCTTTAAACTTCTTTCCCATCTTTAAACTCCTCTCTCAAGTAGAAATTCTTCCAGATATTTAGAAATGTCTGTGTAAAGTGCTCATCCATCGCCGTGTGGGTAAAAGATCATAATTGTACAGTTTTCATAAATGTCTGTGGTGAAGCAACGGAAAAATCATGGCCGTATGATTTTTCCTGATTGATTGCTTATGTTGTTATTTTCATAATTTGCCAAATTAATGTAAATGTTTGATGTTAAACTTTGATTCTGTAAATAAATGACCGCATTCATTTTGATGGGTCAAAGATAAATGACGTCTCACGTTTGCATTTCATTAAATTCAATGCACGTTTTATTCAGTTCAGAAAAATGAGGAATCCGTGTTAATTGATGAATATATCTGAGCATCTGTTCATCCACAAATGTTTCGAACAAGCTATTGGATTTGAGGTGGGTCTGAAGTCGATCAGCTATGACTCACTCTAAAATTTTAGACAGAAAGAGAGGATTGGATATAGGCCAGAAATTTATGAAGTTTTCAGGGTCAAGACCAGGTTTTTTAGTATTGGGGTGATGGCCAAATTCAGGTAAACAATTGTGTTTATCTGAATTTTTATTGCTTGTTTTTAAAGTCTTAAAAGGTCTGGCCCCATCATATTTATGTGATCTCATTAACATTTACACTCCAGTAAGAGCACTCCGGTCTACCAACCAGTTCCTCTTAGATGTCCCCAGATCCAAACTGAAATCCAGAGGTGATCGGGCTTTTGCGGTTGCTGCTCCAAAACTGTGGAACAGTTTACCTGAGAATTTAAAGACCGCTCAGACTGTTGAGACTTTTAAATCTTTGCTCAAGACTCATCTGTATTCCTTGGCATTTCATCCACGCAGAGTCTGAGAACAAGTTGAGCTGATTTTATTGTTGTTGTGTGTTGTTTTTACTGTTAACTTATGTTTTTGAGTGGCACTAGATGCATTTTTACTCTTTTTTTTTTTTTTTTTTTTTAATCTGTCTTAACTGTAAAGCACTTTGTTCAGCTTTTGTTGTTTTTATGTGCTATATAAATAAATTGACATTGACATTGAATTTGGCTCCTTGACTGGCCTTGACAGGCCGTCTTATCTCAACCCGCCTGGAGAGTTTTGTAAACCTGATGCTCTAACCCACAGGTGTCAAACTCCAGGCCTCGAGGGCCGGAGTCCTGCAACTTTTAGATGTGTCTCTGATGCCACACAGCTGAATCAAATAAGGAGGTCATTAGCAGGACTTTGGAGAACTTGACTGCACTGAGAAGCTAATTCAGTCATATGAATCAGCTGTGTGGCATCAGAGACACATCTAAAAGTTGCAGGACTCTGGCCCTCGAGGCCTGAAGTTGGACAACCCTGCCCTAACCCCTCTCTTCTCTCCTACTGAGGAATTTCCATGGACTTTTCAGAGGAGTCCAGCTGAATCAACATTCTGTCATCATTTCAGGACTCTGGATTTGTCTCTGGTCGTCCTCTGCACCCTCTGAATGTGCACGGATCTCTTCAGAAGGAACTATTTGAACTGAGTGATTGTATCTGAACTCTGCAGTGCCTCTGTGTGTTGTCTCTGGCTGCTCACTGCCCTTGCATCCCCCCCCCCCCCCCCCCCAATGTTGGCATCATTATGTGCTCGTGTGCAAGATTTTTTTTCATCACACTGTTGACATTTAAACAGAGGTTAAAAGCGTTTTAGGAATTTGTTTAGTCTCCAAACCCTATCTGTTATTTTTCATGACTTTTTATTGTCTGTCCAAACAGGTTTCACTTGTAAATGAGACTTGGAGGCTCAATGTAACTTATCTGTTTAAATAAAGGTTCAATGAATGGCTGCCAACTTGAGAGACTGTGGAACAGATCCAGAAATAAGCAAGGAGTTGATGATTCCTGTGATCAAAAAAGAGACAATGGGTAGACAATTTTTAAAGAGAGGAGAGGGAATGGAATCCAAAGAGCAGGTGGTAGTTTTGATACCAGACAAGTTTAGTCAGTTGAGAAGAGGAGATGGGAGTGAAGTGTGAGAGCTGCTGAATGGAGCTGGAGGGAGACACATTTGGAGGAGCTTTGTGAGCAGAGACAAGATCAAGGGAACTATAAATGTTATCAAAAACCAAAAAAGTCCATGCTCAAAAATCCAGGTATAAAATCCAACAATTTTCAGTCAGGTCGTCTGGACAGTTTCTTTATTTTGCAGAAACGTTTCACCTTCCATCCGGAAGGCTTCATCAGTCAAGGAAACATACAAAACAAAGCTGATCCTTCCCCCAAACAGCTTATTCCAAAGTGGAAAAAAACAGTTATGTTGGTGCTAAGATGGTGTATTTGGCATGCCAACTCCTCTGTTGCAGGCCCTCTTCCTCGACAACAGTCATGTCAAACTGGTTGAAAACAAAAAAGTACATGCTCAATTATCCAGGTACACAATCCAACAATTTTTAGTCAGGTCATCTGGACAGTTTATTTTTTGCTGAAACGGAGTGAGCTGTTTGGGGGAAG